TGAGAATAACCGAAAATCAGCGGAGACTAATACGCACGGGTGGTAATGAGTTACGATATCTACTATATTATAATACGATACTATAATAAGCATTGTAAGAAAAAGCGTGTACTAACTAATTTAGTTTCGACGGCTTACTGCTAGCCATGTGAAGGTTGTCAATTGAGTTAAATGATCTAGTATGTTAAATCTCTAAAGATCCAGTGTAAAAAAAAAGCAGTGCTCACACTACACATGAGACAGGATAGCAACAAGCGTAGAGGCACATTAAAACATATATAATAAATCCTTATTTGGACGGTCTGCAGATCATGCTAGTTTTTGTACTCGTAATACTCTATCGTAATACTAATACTCGTAATAGCAGGTGGAAGCTTTCGCTTCCACCTGCTATTAATAAAAAGATCTATTGTATTGCTAGTGCAAAGGTATTTGTGATGTATATTCCCTCGAAAACTTTTTTTTGTAAAGGACTAGTTGTACCAGACATTTTGCATCAGCTGTAAGCACCTTATAGGCCATATTTGTCTACCTACTAGTGTTTACATAGTCATGTGATACGCGGGCTAGATAAATATATGGAGGTCAATAGACACCGTTCGGCTAGAGCGTACGGTGGGAAAAAGTTGCGACCTAAGCTTTCTTTAAGCGATGTGTAATTACTGTATACATAAACCGGTTTAAAAGCCATACGTACTCACATTGCCCTTTACTTTTTTTTTTGTTTGTGTTATTTGTGGCTCCTTCATCTACTGGCGTACAGATGACAGTCTTGTGTAGCTGTGCTCAGGTATCTTTCTGCCAAGAGGGTGTTCGCGATGATTCGCATGTAGAAAACGTGGTGCATAAGGCTGTCGCCGACGAGTTCGACTCTCAAATCCTCACCAACAGGTAATATATTCCATATATAACGTTCGCAGTGAAAAATTGCGTCACTTTCTGTATATTAGGAAATCAGACAGCTCTTTCATTTTCCCTATTCCATATCATAACATATACTTGCTTAGGCTTGGCCAATCAGTAATTAAAAGGTGTTGGTAATTAACTTTATATCTAATTACCTATCACTGTGATATCCTTCTACTGCTGGCCGCTACAGGACAACCGCGTTTCTGTCATGCGCTTCGGGAGAAATGCACGTAAAGCTTAACTTCAGCGAACCTTTCCGAGGAATTACTTACGTCGATTACGACAAGACGAGCCCCTGCAAGTTTTACGGCGATGGCAGGAAGTATTATGAGCTTCGAATTCCGCTCAAGGGATGCGGGACCAAACAGGTGTGCATCTAATTCTTAGACATTCGATCTTCCCTTTGCCAGCTTATGCTTAGCACCGATGTCATTTACTTGGCCGTCCATTTGAACGTCTAATGTTTTTGCATCCGCAGGAAGCGCCTCGTGTGTTCATCAACAATATTATTGTGCGCTTTCATCGGTCACTCGAACTGGAAGAAGATGAAATTAAGACGATCATCTGTAGATACCCGCCACCGCAAGCGCCACCTCCTGCTACAGTTGTTGCCCCTATGTAAGGCTTTATGTGGTTGCTTTTAGCAGTCTGCCGGAACAACCAAGTTGATTCCTATTTACATACTCTTTTAACGTGGGACTATTAAGTTACTGATGTTACCAATAAGAATTGTAAGCATCATTACAGTAAATATGTTGTTATTTGATCCAGTATTTAAGTTAGTTGACTTCTCGCTGACTCTCTGTTATTAAATTTATATCATTACGGTCTGGTTTATTTCCGCTATTCTGTTGTGGCCTTTGATTTTCAGAGTGGAAGCCCCACCGTTGATACCTCCACTTCGGCCACCAAAGCTCTCGGAAATTGAACTTCTGTTAATCATTTGCGCTCTGCTATTCCTGACGCTGTTGCTTCTCGGCATCGGAATAGCTTACTACTGCCTCAAGAAACGTAACGTCAAGGTAATCAAGAAACGACCGGTATCAACACCCGCGTCTGAGATCACCAAAATCTCGGATTTTGCTCCGATTACAATTCCCCGCGCAGTTGCTCAATCCTCATCAAGCGGATCCGAGGCAACTCTCATCTCGGACTATCCGTCGGAGAGTCCGTCGAGTGCAAGCGATCTCGAGGAAGCCGTCGATCGACGCCTCGTCGACGCCAAGATTCCGATTCCACCTGCACCTTACCCTACTGATGGAGAGCGAGCTGAATCACTAGCCTCCGTTGAGCTTCCTTTACGAGCTGCGGCGATTCCCCGCCCGAAGTCCGGTCCCTATCCGACTGATGCCGAGCGTGCAGAAAGCATCTCGTCAGAACAACGTATAGCCACGATACCTCGTCGACCTAAACGGGACATTCAGACGGCTGATGACTACTTTATTAACACGATTCAGGAAACAACTGAGGACGTCGACATGGATAATCTACATACGACTACGACACTTGACGCTGTTGAAGCGCAGCCTTTGTACGGATCGATTCCTGATAATGATAACTATTCACAAAGCGAAATTGAGTCGGTGATTTTGCCACAGCGTGAACGCGTACCTCAGAGAAGCACTCAAATGATCGACGATCTCAATATAACGACAGAGCATACTGTCGACACCGTTGAAAATACCAGTAAAAAGCACAGGGACACTATTATCGCGGCACGGAAGCCGAAGATCGAAGTAAAAAATATTGAAGATGTCATCCTTACAACTGAACATGACATTACCACAAACGAGGAGGTAACTAAACATCGACGTGACACAATCCAGCAGTATCAGAAAGCTGAACCAGAGGTACTCACAGTTCCCACTGAGTACCTCGCGCCGACGTGGGACGTCAACTTTAAGACGCGCGATCCAGGCCAACCCGCCACCTTTGGTCCTGGTCTATGCCAGCAAACGACTACGTCCACGTGGGAGACAGATGACTTAACTAAAACAACGGCAGCGGATCGGACAACTGTGCATGACATAACCGACATCCGCAGGACGGATATCCAGGACGAAGCAGATATAAGCAATGTCGACACCCGAACCTCAGATACCGGTAATGTGGATATTCGTACCACAGGCATCCGTGACATCACCACGGATATCAAGACCATTGACGTGACAAATGTAGACATTTGCGACACAGATATGAGTAACGTAGACTTCAGTCAAGATAGCGTGATCTTGCCACCGCCGAAGTCTGTCACGCCACCGAAACCCAGCTTGATGTCAATCTCGTCGATGCCGCCCAAATACGAATTGCTTGAACGAATCGTGTCACCTCCACCTGTTCCCGGTGTTGAAATGTTGACGCCACCGATCAAGAATCGGTGGACCGTGCTCATCTCAAGTGATGACACGTTCCGTACTTTAATTCACGAAGCACATACGATTGAGGAGTATACCCGTGTGTCGTACCACGTTGATTACGTGCATGTTTTCGAACGGCCTGTTTGGGACGTGATTATTCGGGTGTTAACCTTTCCCGACTACCGGTTCGAGCCAACGGTGACGATCAGACGATTGCCCCCCCTCCGTGATGTGCCTGATGTCGATTTACGTTCCCTGACAGAAACTGAGGTGGAACCGTGTCGACGAAAGCCAGATTCCATCTTGTCGGATGAATCCCGTCCCGAAGGAGATCGAGCCACGTCCGAGTACACCGAGCCAGCGAATCAGCGACGCCGTGCAGAGTCGATTGCCAGCTATCAAAAGCCTGTTTTACGACCGATCGAGGTGGATATCGATGAATCGGACGATGCTCGATCAGATATAACATTTGACGTGCCCGCCGAGACGCTAGTTTCACGCATGACTTCCACCGATATACAGGACGTACCTGAGGGAAGGCGAATCATAACGCAACAGACTCGCTTCACAGAGAGCTCGCGCACCAGCAGCCGTAGGTACTAGAAGCTAACGATGAAAATACTAAAGCAATTGGTGTTGCGAGCTGGCCATTAAGGTTGTATGATTATTCAGTGTAATGAGCTAAAAATGAAGCACAGCATAAGAAGCAAAAAACAGAGATACACCCTATTGCTTGGCAACGTGACGCTCGATCATCTGGCGATTTGAGAATATCAAGAAATATGCAGTAAAAACACCAGGATGTATCCAAAAATTACGGAACCTCTTCTCGAACAAACAAAAATGTTGATTTATCATCCTCTAGTCAGGATAGTCATAATATGAGACAGCAAATAGGATACAGCCAGACTTTGAAAAATGGTCAATTGCACTACATATACACGAATGTTGAATCACCGTGGATCGAGATCGTTAGCCGCGCATGAGCTACGACCTTTACTTACTGGCTCAACGGTAAGAGGAGTGGACGTCATTACTGAGGAACAGGGCTTCTGTGTAGGGCAAAATCCAGGAGTGGAACCCCCAGTCGCCATATTTCGGAGGTTGGCTTGGGTGCTCCAGATGGATCGTAGGTCGGGGTAAGGAAAAAGTAGAATCACACTTATCAGTTGACTTCGGAACCAGTACTTAATAGAGTAACGCGTATCGTGTTTTTACTGCGGTCAACCAGCTCTAGAGAAATAAAAAAAATTGCCACCATTTTAGATAAGATTGTGAAAGGCAAATAGTCGAGGAATTGGGACGCACAGACATACAGACAGGACTCTTGTCAACCAAAGTAGGAATATGCATATAGTCGAGATGACAGTAGCCGTGGCGAAGGCTCAAAGAGCGCTTAGGATGGTACCGAAAACATACCTGAGATGACGAACTATCGAGCCCAATACTACTTTCGACCCCGTAGGAAATGCACGTTATTTATAAACCCGCAAGACAAGACAACGGAAAAGAAGGTACACTCAAAATGAATTGACAACTAAGGTCGACTACTTAGGCTTACAAATCTGCCTGTAAAGCGTGAGCGAGCCTTAGCACATGATCAACAAAGAAATACACGCATGTCGAACAAAAACAATGAAAAATTAATACAACCGATCATAAATTACGTTGTTTGTTTGTTTGTTTGTTTGTTCTGTTGTCGCAAATTATCGTTCAAAGCTATAAAGATAGATTTTTTCACAAGCAGCTACTAATCTGGACATAATTATAACATGAAGTCTGCGACAAAACAGATGAGATGACAAAAGTGCAAGTAAGATTTATGAAGCGGTAGATATAAAGGTCCGAGTGCTAAAAGGAGAACATGCAGATTGCGGGAGTATGAATATCACCTGTTTTCATCAACTATTTGATTTTATAAGGGTAGTTCATTCATGATTTTCAATACCTCTGAATCAGACCGCATCCTGGAAACATCATCGATCGTCAACGAATCTTCTCAACAGACGTACAAATTTAGACTTGACTGACTGAAAATATTTTCTAAGCGGTGTAGATTGAGTACTAAAATAGAATCCTGTGTCGGCAACTGCCACTACATAGACAAAATGATCGGACGCCTGAAGACCGTACGCTTCATTTATAAGATTATGTTTATCAAGCTGACGATGTTTCATCGTACGTTATTCCAGATGAAGAAATGCTATTATTTAATAAATAACAATTAATTACAAACAGAGAAAAAACATGTAAACGCGCGTATACACGACGTCATTCGTTGCAGTTGTAAGTGTAATGACGATAAAACGATAACTGTAATCATAGTTCGAATTGGCCGCCTCTAACGGCTCCTTATGATCAGCAGATGCTGTGTCCTGTTGACTAAGGCACTACCGTGGCTGTACGCTTTATTCTAAATAACTCCTTTGCCTTAAGCTAGCTAGGAATAAAAATGTAAATATGTTAAATAGCGACGACGAGAATATATATATATATATGAAAGAGCGCTTTTTCGATGAACACATATGTGTGCCACTACGTAGAGAAAACGGTCCTTTGACGAATGTGGCAGTTTTAATTATATTAGAAAAGCTGATTGGTTACTTTAATGGGCTTTCAAGAATTTGATTGATCAGCGAAAACGTAACCTTATGGATGCCTCGGCTTGAAAACGAAAAACGTCGAAAATGTCAAACACAGATCTACCAGTTAGCATTCCTTAACTAGTATATTCTGTTGGTCCTATGCCCTAAATGATATGATTCACTACAGCACAGCCGCAATGTAAGTTAAATTATATAATTATGTAAGTCACAACGCGGTAATCATACTTCTGTTTTCGAATTTATTGAATCAACTAGAAGTTTCTTTAGGAAACTCTCGATTAGGAATGCCGCACAGATTTCGAGACTATAATAATAATAATACTATGAAATCTGTCGATTTTCTAAATTTTTTTTGGACCGTCCACTTGGTGGATTGAGGTTTTGTCTACAGTCTTTTGTTTGTATTAACATATGAAATACTTTACTATGTTGTTATTAATAAACGATGACGCTCTGTGATCTGCTAGGTGATATCGTGACTTTTATATTCTAACATCCACATTGACGAGGGTTTTTGGAACGCAACCCTAAACAACAGTTCGCAAAGACAACGCACATATCCAGCCGTCCAATCGTTTATTTTTAGCCAATACTTCATACACCGTTTTAGTGTATACAGACATAAACGCTAGATACGCTAGATTGTTGCGAGGGCGGCGATTGAAAAGCTCCAAACTATCCGAAATCCACTAAAATGCCCCAAGTTTATTTTGTGCTATTATATGGCGCGTAAAATTCCATTTCGAGTTCTAGAGGTGTGCAAGTCTATACACAATTTTTTTTGGCTCACACAAGAAAAATCGTTAGTAAATGAAATATCAACCAAATGATAAAATACGGAAAAATAAAAGGTCGAATCGTCTACCATTTCATGCGTACCAACGAAATCTATCGTTTGTATTTATAATGCACATATCAAGTCATTATTGACCTCAGGATAAATACGTTATCCAATAACAACGAAAGCGGTACGCACATCATTGACTTTTCCGCACATTTATTACACGGAGAAACAGTTCATAGACGGCTAGTGAACATTAAGCTCGCATGTTATCTATGGTCATTGTTCTAATTGCAAAACTAACGCTTCCATCCTCCTCAAAGACCAAGTTATCATTGACTTCCGCGTAGAGTTAAACAAGTCACAATGCAGAAATTCATTTTTTTTGTATGAATTCTGAGAATAGTTTGCACAAGTGATGCATTCATTCATTTGTAGGCGTTCATAGAGAGTCTTCCGTGATGCTTTATAGGCGCACGTAATTCATTAAAAAAATGGACAACGTGATTTTTTAATGAAGTTTGATAACCAACAAATTGATAGATAGTAATAGGGAGCAGTCGGACAAACCGACCATGTAAACGCGTGAATTTTCAACGGCTGCTCGACTAACTCGATAATGTTCGACCACTGGAAACCAAATCATAGGAGGACATTCGCCATTTTCAGTTAACTTCGATAGCCGTTCTTTTATAATGTGGTTTCACTGTGATCACAGACGTATAGAGGCTTTTATAACAACATCGTTGAACAGCTTTTTCGTTTAGAAGCGTCAGCATTCGTAGAAACACTCGCCGAGCCGAAGTTGTCCCAAAAAGGATCGCTTACAAGTTGTATATCCCTGCTAGATATTGAGAAGTTGTTTTGAGGAGCTACAAGGGTATACCGATGTATCTGGAAAGTAACAATTTACATTGAATATCCGGTCTGCGGTTAACGTGTAGTAGAAAGTCGGTTGATGTCAACAGTGTAACTGATGCAAATAGAAAATAGGTACTCCTATAGAGAACATTGGCGACGTATAATACACAATAGGCGTGCTTCGGCATAGGAACGCTCTTAAGTATTGTAACTAACTATTATTACTATACTAATGTCTGACCTGTCGGTACTTATAATATAATAAGGTCATCAATACGCATTTTTCATGAATTACATCACGTTTTACAATATATATATATATATATATAGTAGTCACTGACCAGCTACGGGAACAGTTGATAAAATTACTGGCCAAGAAACAGAATATCCGCCACCATTCGAAGACAACTAGATACAAAAAGTATTCCATCATGTGGCTGTCATCCAAATTGATGTAGAAGAATTTACTTGATTGTATTTCCATCTGCGAAACCCTGCAGTTTCGCACCAAAATCCAGCCGCTTCTAAAGCAGTTAGTCACATGCGATAAAAAGTGGACCACACACGATCATAATGTGCGAATGAAAAAAAAAAACACATTTCTATGTGAGACTGGAAAAAATCGTAAGCTTTAAAATTGTTGGCTTCTGACGAAACGGCTAATTAGGATTTCTACTGTTAACAATTAACAAAACTACGGTCAGCCATTTAAATGATCGACTGGAATATTAAACAAAAAAAGGCGTCATCCTCCACCACGGCAATGCCAAACTACATACATCTTCAGCTATCCGACAAAAATCTAGGGAAGCTGGACCAGAAATCATAATGCGTTTTCCATATAGCTCCGATCTTGCATTATCCGACCATCGTCTATTTCGCTCATTGTAGAGCTCTACTAATTTAGTTTAAGTGGTCAGATACGATGATCACTAGTCAGAATTAGTTTCCAACATCCGCAAAAAGTGTTGCAGTAATGACATTATATTCGTCACTAAAAAAATGGCAAAAGTGATCGATCAAAATAGCGCATATTCGGTTTTGTAATACTATTTAAAAAAAAAAAACAGTCAATTAAGTAATAAAGGTAAAATCGACATTTAGTGACTGCATGTCTACGTAATAGAACAGTTGTAAGGACCTACTATAGTGCGCATATTCAGTTAGTTATACTTTTGAATATAAAAAATGTCGGCTCCAACTCTATATATATATATATATATAGTCATTTAGGAGTATAATATGATTTTTGGAAAAGCTGTAAAATAATTTCAGGGGAAAAAGCGTATTCCGATTCATAACCAAATGCAGTCAATGGAAATAGGCTAAAATTCGTATCCAGAACGATCCAAGTAATGGCTAAGAGGAAATCGCTTTACAAGTACACATTGCATGTATATACATATATGCTCGTACCGATAATCCTAGCTATTTCGGTCGTTATCGTTATATGAAAGTTAGGTGCTGCGCGAATACATTGTGCTAGTACGAACGTGTTGTCGTTATAATTGGCGGTAACGAGGGTGAAGCGTCCGAACTCGAAGGTTGATCAATTCGAGAACCGCTGAAGTGGTCGAAGAAGCGGTAGGGTTAATAACGACAACATAGTAATACCGGCACAAATGCTCCTGATTCGAATAATACCTCGTTCTTACGCAGCGAGAGCGACCTTGCCAAGACGTAGATATATATGGTCATATTTTGTTTCGATATATCTGTGAAAGGACTTTTGCCCCACCTTGTCTATACATGCTAGGCAGGACTAGTCCTAACGCGTAGGGGGTCACTATAAGAGTTACACGAGACTTGGGTTTTTTTAGGAGAGATGGTAGTGGCTCTTCTGCGAACGCCATTGAGCCGAAGCTCTTAATGCGTTGTCACTTGGTATTTAAAGATACTAACCCAATATATATATATACGAATATGGCCAGTTTTGCTTCATATTAGTGTAAAAATACGCTGTTACTTACCTGTAGACCCCAAGACCACCACCCTCGTTTCTCCAACGCGACGATTTTCATTGATTGATGCCTCTGCGTGATTTTATTTCATAGACATTAACAGAAATCCGTGGAAACGCTAAACAATTAACAAAAGTAAAACGAGAAGAAAAAAAGGTCATAGTTTTTTTTTTATCGTTTGTATATTATGGAATATGATATACTTGTTGAAATTAGTTAAGAGAGCGCCAGAAAGGCCGTTGTTTGCAGTGTGTTATGTTGTATAGACATACAGAGTGTCATAAAGTATACGTATCATTAATATTTTAAATGCAAATGAATCTGCATAAAACGGTTTGTTCCAGCTTAGATTTCAAAAGTTGGTGCTGTCTCGGTCAATACACGGCTGATGATATCGGTGGTGTTGACAAGCTTCAAAGCATAACTTATTCGATGCATTGACGCATTTCTGCTACTGACTTTATCTCTAAGGTAACCTGACAAGACAACGTTCATTGGTGTTAGGTTTGGAGAACGGCAAATGATCTTCTGGCCTAGAGCATCTGTTTGAAGGATTCTCACCATCATGACAGCAGTGTGCAGATACTTCACTCTGTTGAAAATTTGCAATTTTTCCCTTTACAGTGGTCGGTCTTGCAGTGAACTTCAGTAGTAGACGTAATGTGTACACAGCACACTTTCTAAGGCACTCTTTATATACAGCTATGTATATACTATGTGTATTTACGTATACATGTACATTTTCTGGTTAAGGTTGATTCATGTGAACACCATTTCGTGAATGTGGAAGTTTTTGCGAGAAAATATTTTTCCATTTCTATTCTATCTATCATGTGAACTTTTTTCCAGCACATGCTAAATGAAAGCAATGACAGCACTCGACTAATTATCATCTTGCCCAATTAATGGGTCGCGTAGAAAAGAAACGTAACCTAGCAAACTTCGAATAATCAACTTTTTGATTTTCGATTGTAGTATAGTAACGTATGATTCTTTGGCCATTTAAATAATAACTTATCTAATCCCGTTGCTGTTTCGAAAGCTCTTTTGACATCAGGTTGAGATTTGAAAGGAGTTGTCGGGATTCTGACAAAAAGGGTAATATATGAAAGCAATACCCGGCGCCTATGCTGAAAAGTTCCTAATTGTAACTCGTTTTACCAAAAAAATTTCTACCTTGATTCTTACAGTATGCGGTGACCGCTTACAGTTAGCATAGATAAGTTATTTTTTGTCACAAGTTAAAATTCAGTATATGAGTATCCTGTTGATGCAAATTGAAGACAAAGAGAAGCACGCGTCTCTGTGTGCTTAAATTACGCGACACCCACCTGTCCAATTTTTTACTTTATTGATTTTGCCGAGGTAAACAAGTGTAATTATCGGTTAATCAATTATTATTAAATCGGTGTGCTTACAGCAGTATACTTTGGGACAATCCGGCTTCCACCGCTGCCCCTAATTCACTCTCGCAGCGGGGGTTCTATAACGACGAAGAGACCCATTCTCGAGTTTAAAATGTTCTCTCTCGAGTTAGTTGAATTGACGGCTGACGATGTTTCTGCTAGTAGAATCTTCAAAAAGTTTATACGGTGAGTTGCATTGCCGCTGCAATCGCAAGATGAATATCGCACATTCATAAACAACCTACATGGACTTTCTAAATTATTTGTGACTTACTAGAACTCATTTGCCGGAAACTCGAGAGAGGATTTCGAAGTAACGGTCGTCACACTTCAATGTGTACAGGTGTATCCCGAACGTATCGAAAGGACGTATCGCAGAATATCGTACTGTTTCAAAATGACATCATCTTGAATTGGAGTAAATAGTGTTTGGCACGACTCAGATTGAACAGCCAAATAAATTTTTCTACGCAATAGAGAAAGAGTGTTTCTTTTTTTTGCTAATCTTACATTTATAATTGTACTTACTCAATATCAAACGGATGGATCATTGGTTGTTGGTACGTACAATGCGGGCCGTAGATTGAGTGGTATTTTTTGCTTGTATCTGGTATATCGATGCAGATCTGTGAGAGATTAGCTGCTGGTACAGGCACCGCATTCTTAACGACCTCGATCCAGATCCTTATGTTAAGGACCACACACAAAACAAGACAGGAGATATATCGATTTATTGAAACGTAAGCAAAATAAATCGCTTTCAAGGAAGCCTCAAAATGTTCTAGCACACAGACAAGTAACAGGTCGATTTTAATCTTCGAATTACCAGAAACAATGTAATTTTTAGAAACAGCTACCCTGCATGCGTGCACTTATCGGCCTGCAACACTCCTATTTGGGCTAGAGTAAACAGCTTGTACATCGATGACTAGCTGAAACCACTTTTCGTTGGGACGACTTTACAGACTACTTTAACTGATAGCTTACTCTAACTACTTCTTTTATATAGTATTTCAAAATCTTGTTGGACCTTTATTGGACCTGTGACTCCATGTTAGCTTAGCGGGTAATGCAGTTGTTTGCTAACATTAGGGACACGCTGTGTTCTAGGTTCTAGCGTAGACAGACTCTGTTTCGTGCTGGAAGCCAGCCGTCTCATGGAATGAGTAACGGCGATACCGGATGTCAAACTCGAAACACGGAGACCTCTCACTTTATTTATAAATTTGTAAATACTTCAAAAACATTAGCAGCCAAGAAAACTGCCGACGCGGGAAGTACTTGTCATCTCATCGTTCGAAACATATCAACAACTGACCTAAATATTACGCGACACGTAAATAATGTCCCCTACTGCAGGTTATATGCTTTTTTAAATTATCTATAAATAAATAAATAGTTATAGTGAAAAATGTAAACAAGTCGAAAAAATTAAAGTTTCATTTTTTCAAACTTTGAGTCCGGCTAAAAAATACGGTTACTCGAGGAAATGTTACTATATCTTTAGCTATTATTGGTCGCATTATTATTGTTCCTACTTTTCAGTTTATTGTTAAAAGTTTGTTAAGAGGAAAGTTTTGTCCACGTACCGGTCCGCCCTGTTTGGCCCGCCACGACCAAATCGTTCTATTACCCATCTTGAAAGGCTTATGGCTCCTGTTAACATGAAACAGGAGAACGCAGCTATGACGCAAATTATTGACGGCGCGAATGCTGCAAGCATTTTGATTGCAGGCGCCGTCGACTGAAGCGGGAAACTCTATTGCTCGATAGAGTTGATACCTTCTTTACTGACGACTGCGAAAGCGAACGCTTTTGGAGCTGGGAACTTGTCCTGTCACCATTGAAGGTAGAACCTGGAACGCGCCATTTGTTCTTAGTCATCTGCAAGTCGAAGGTGCCAGAGTGAATTTCCTATGCGCCTATTTAATTACTAGTCGAGAGGCCTTTCACAATAGGATATATGCGGATCTGACTTGAGGCGCAAGATAAGAAATGGCCATAATCCTCTATCTTCTAACTCTGCTGGAACTTTGTTGATAACTCTTAGTTATCGTTTAGCGGAAACTAGCACCACAGGTAAGGCTGAAAAAGCAGTTCGACTTAAAGCTTATAAACCCATTAGCAAACATGACAAACTTGTCAAAGTTAGTAAATATATCAGCGATTAGATGGAATGAATTTCCATTAGCCAGTTGATTAATCCGTGAACTCATTTTCGCGCTCAGTCTTACCACTTACGGCCTAGCGTAGTGACACACTTAACTCATGAAAGCAGTTGCCTATTTATGACACTGTTTTCTTCCATAGCACCCAGTGGCACTACGTTAACAATGAAGAAAAATGGATATGCCGTCCATTGAGATTCGTTTGACTCGTCGTGTGATCGTCGTTTCTTAAACGACGGACCCCTTTCGTAGATAACATTTGCTGCGAACACGTAAACCTTGAATAAACTGAGAGCGTATGGACAACTTCGTGGGTGAGGGCTATTTAGCAGCTATTGGCCGTTAGCGATCCGTGTGGACATTTGTGCGTTCGAATAGAGCCCACACAGTTGTGTCTATAGGGAGTGTCCATATGGAATATGTGTATCACAATTTGTCGGTGTTGTATTCCGCCGTAGCGTATGCACTCAGCACAGCATGTCTCAATGAGGACACGATAAGACCATGTTTTCCCTTAACAAATTTAGGGAAGGCATAGATGTGCCTCTTTTCGACTGGGAGCAGGCCAGGTTTCTAGTCGGCAGTTAAACCTGATGGAAAATTTGAAGCATCATTATGCCTAGACCCCCGATGATGACCAATTGCTGGACCAAGATGTCTATTCGACGCATACATGCTCGAACTAATTGGTTCAATTTATATAGCCGGAATATATGTACGTTTGCCTAAGGACACTTTTACCGGACGCTTTGAACACAGTGAGGAACGATGTACTAAAATACAATTAACTTGTCGTCTTCCATATAGTTCCTAGTTAAACAGCTGGAAATTAATCAGAAGAGCAATATTCATTTGATATAGATCAGTTATATCTATTCAGGTTTGTCAGGTAACAGTCAGATATTTTAATATTATTACTCAACGAAAGCAAGAACACGGTAAATTTCAACACAATAGTTGATTTTTAGTAACCTGGGCGATGTTGCTGCCTAAATACTATTCAGATTTTCAGATAATATTTTCTTTTGCCAAAAAAAAAGAAAATATAGTTAGCAAAGACAATTGTTTGGAGATAAAACCAAATGTCTTATAGATACGTTCTGTGAAAGACAATCTTTAATTTGGAACACCATTATAGATAAATACTTAACTATTCAATGCACGCTATTTAAACTCCGAAGTGTCCTTAGAACTTCTCAAGCGCATTTTTTTAAATCTTTTTTAATTTCTTTGGTACGAAATAAAGTTCGACAGTGAAAAAAACAAATCAGATATAAATGGTATCTCGGTCAGTTTTGCCTAATTATTAATTCTAGCTAGCATAGACCATTTATTTATTGTCGAATTTACTGTGGGTTTCTTTAAAAAGGCGTTCTTAGATCATTTTATTTGTTCTACGATGAGGTGTATAATTCGAAGTAACGATCTTTAGGAGAAATTGCAAATAACCTACGATCAGTTCATCAGCTTGAACCGCAGTGAGTTGGGTATCGAGCATTACACTAGAGGAAATGGACTTCATGTGTAATTTACATTTTTTTTTATTATAAAACTGTGCCATGTGGGCAACTTTTAAGTTATGAATGATCAGAACGGCTAATTGAAACAGAATTGTTTTCATAGCTCAATAAATGACTTAATAATCGTATAGATTCATTTGTAATTCTGCATCTCGGCATCCTCGGTTGTCATCATTAGTTTTTTTACGTAGGTAGCAACTTTACTGTTCGGAGGGCGCGCTTTGCTCTGCTTTTTTTGAATGCTTGGCAAGGCTAAATATGGCAATGCGACAGAAATGTTATTTGTTATTTACTATAAGTTTCAATATATTCGTTTACGCGTTAGAAGCTCAGTTTCTGCTGAAACCTAAATATTTTTTTTATAGCGATACTTCTACTTCGTATAGGTTAGTTAAGCAACAGCTATATGTGTCAATCCAATGGATATAAAAATATTCGGCCAATTTTAGAATACGACCCGGTTTGGAATCTTTTTTTCAGCGTACTGCTGATTCATGACTCCATTTGTCACGTTTTGTAACAACGCTGTTCAGTAGCACAGTTGGGAGTACATGTTAACACGCTCTCGGCCGCGTCAGATGTCACGCGGATCTTCCTGGTCATAATTAGGACCAGACAGTGTCCGATGAGTATTAATGAATTGAGGAAACGAGCGGAGGTACTTGCCATAAATAATTGTATTCTCTAATAAACCCCATACGGGAACTATCTCAAAAACTTTTAAATTTAATTCGATTCTAGGACTCGTAACATAACTCTCCGGTGTTCTATATAGTGATTAACTTGCTTCGCCGTAAAGGGCTCTGTGTTTGTCATAAGAACTAACAAATATAGATAATAGTAACCGTAAAGACAACTGTTCGATGCAGCTATTGTGCGCCTGTAGCTTTTTAAAATTGTCAGAAAATGGGTTATCGAACTTATCCTAACTAATCGGTACAATATGTTTAGCATTACTTACATTTTCGTAATACGCGATAATCGGAAAAATGATTAAAAAAAATAAATAAATAAATAAACCTTCAATATTACAATCGAAAGACAGATAGGTACTCATGTTTTTAGGTCTTCACGCCCTGCGTCACAAATGATGGCAACTGCTAACGTCTAATGTCGAGTACGTAATTCAAAACTTGTTTAAAAGAAAAAAAAAAATAGAAATTTTTATGCGAATAAAAAACCCTATGACCGATTCATTATGAGGAATGATTTTTTTCAGTCGTTTTCAAAGTTTTCCTTTAAGGCTTGCAATAGACAGCACCAGTTTTTATAAATACTATGACAATTAACATACAGGCATTTACCTCGAAGCACTATAATATGTATTTATTATCGATGACGCCACATGACGTTTACAATAACCCGATACATCCGACTATTGAATGAAGCAAAACTAAGTTCAACGCTTGTGTGATCCTCATAACCTGTCGCCGCGTCGTCAGTTATCCGCACCTCTCGTAGAGGAAGAACTTCGACTGGCAGCCGATCTTGCCCGTGCTGGACGGAATTACCCACAGCCCTCCTCTCTAGATGAAGCTCAAAATCGTACGGAAATAGATTGTCAACCCGTAGCGGAATTTCAGCTGGAGGCTCTCTTGGGCTAATAACGTACGAACTTTCGCCATATTGAAAGGTCACCGTGATAATTTCATTTTGTACCTTTTCTCCATGGCAGAGATCATGGCTGTAGTTGCCATGGGCTTCTTCGGCGAAGCCAACTATTTCCAGCGAGAAGCTTCCCACAAAGGACTCGATGATTGCTGAAACAGCGAAGTAACACAGAGTAAGTGCGACTCAGCTTTCACGCAAAGCGTACATCAGCAAAATGAAGGTTGCTCAAGTTCCGCAAAACTACAATAGGATTAATTAAAATTGTCATATTGCGAGACCTGATCACTGAACACCGAATTATAATATATAGATTCTTCTAATTTTTTGATACCCTTATAATAAACTCATAATACCTCCTACGAATGGTATGCGGTTATTTTGTGCGGTTACACTATTTTGAACCAGTTAATACTAAATTCCTTACTTTTACGCGCAGATTAGTCACAATGAATGGAACTTAACATTTAATTGAAGTTCTTATTCCTGTAGCAAAGCGTTTATAGTTGGTAGAAATTATTTCCCCAGTGCAAACGTGCCCTTCTGTCTTAGATGTGCTTTTACACTAATAATAGTTAATAGAATTTAAGGGAAAGCACTGCTTCTCATTTAGGGGCGTGGTAATTATGGTACGTAAAGCTACGTTTAAAATTTCCGAGAGCCAGGCCCGAGACGCAGAAGATACATCTACGTTTCTTTTATTCCCACTTGATTTATCTGTGCATAAAGGCTTCCGTACCACGTAGCCGAGGAATATGACGGACCGCATCGTAAATGCCACTAGCCGAATAACTTATCCGTGTAGAATCCCCTATTGTTAGACGCATTGTGATTACGTTCTGTAATAGCAAACCAAGCAACGGTGGTCTTTAAGCGCATTGAAGTGGGTCAGCACATGTTTCACTGATGTAAAATCTCCTGGCCTTGAAACAGAAAATCCATTCTGTGCAAACTTTGTCTATTTCATTTTATATGCTATGCATATATCTCATTTATATTTACCTCACAATCGTGTACGTACCTCAAGAAAATCAGCCGTTTCAGCAGCGCTAGCCAGAACCTGAAGGAACAATTCAATATCTGTTCGAGAACAATCTCCATGGCGTCGAAATGCTTCTCGCTCAAAAAACAGCTCAGCATAGGGGAAAACACTTTTGACGAAACGGTAAAATGTTAGCGTCGCAAACGACACCATTGGTATTTGAACCGGGTCCACATTTGTACCTTCAGCCAGGGTGGCTTCCTAGTCAGGACAATATTTTACCGTAGGTCGTATTGCGATGTCGACCGCACGATCACCATCTCGTTATTGTCGTTCTCGCGAGTTATGGACCTACGAAGCCCTCTAATGGCAAATGACCATTTGAACTATCAGCTGTTCGATGATACACAGACCTCGTGAAGCTGAGTGGGCATACTTATAATTTAAGTAGCACAAGTTGGGCATTCTGAGGTTTTAGCTGGCGTCGACGTAATGAGTATATCGTCGGAGCTCGTTAGTGTGAAAATGTAAGTACCTTTGAATCTACTTATATATTTCTAATAAACGTCGCTCTACGTCGGTTCATGAGACCATGGACACTTAACTCGAGTTTTACACCGGAAATTGCCTTTAGACGTTGTTTCAAACGGCTGGCTTTCACTACAAAACAAAACGTGTACGCGCCCGGTTTTAAGCCTAGACTACCACATGTTTCCTTTAATTGGTGCGTAAGCAAGTTTGATGTTCCCAAGCGGTCATTTTTCAAGTGCAATACAAATACAATGTTGCCTAGTTTCGGTGGCTGAACAAGAATCCTCCGTGAGTAGAGGAACTATGGGCTCAATGCTTTGGATAGAGAGAGATGCGAAACATTGGTTCTGTTGCAAAATCCAGTAAGGCTCAATGATCTACATAATTTATCATATTGCTGACAGCTACATGCACACTATCTGATGCAAACGTAACCGGATATAGATCGAGCTTCAATAGAGGACATTGCCCGGAGATGCGCATGCGCTTATACTAGTCGTCCTGAAACTGCCTGCTCAGACGGGACAAAAACTAGCGACGGACAGGACTGACATGAAGGTGAATATCGTTTGAGATGAATCATTTAATCACTATGGCAGTCAAGTGTTCCAATCCAAGATGCCCCCTCCCGCTTATAACCGCTAAACTAGCTCATTACGCATGCTATTTTAAGATATACTATTTTAGAAAATAGTTTTCCCTTTTATTTTAGCAAAAAGGATATTGTGCTACAACGGTATTTGGAATGGTCTCTGTATTGTGTTTTTATTTTGTTTCGTATATTACCTATTTTCCCTTCTACCAGGCTCACGTGGGTTTTGTGTTTCGCGGATAGAAACCGAAGAAACACCAACATTATTTATGAAGTAGTATAAAATTCACTTGTTCATTTTAGTATAGAAAAGATGGAAACATTTGATGTTTAGGTACGTATGTAATTGATTTTTTTTATTGGCAGGCGTACACATTAGAGAAGCTAACTGCTTGAAGCATGTTAGGTAGATGTAGGGTTTTGAGAACGACAAGCGATAGTGCGTGACCAGTCTATTTAATTATAACTATTATGATTTATATGGCGATATGTGGAAAGGAACCAATTGCGTTGATTCCTGTCCTTTTTTCCATACGTTCGCATTTGAATTATTTAATATTTCGATGCGTATCGAATCGGGCAAAAGCGCGACTTCAGACAGTTTCAGGCTGTGTTTCCAAGCGTAGAGGAAGGTAACATATGATTGTCCGTCTCGAGACTGGACGTGGCAGCTGATGGAAGAACAGCTGGAAGTCTATGTAGCCATATTGTTCGTGTCGATAACGGACAAGGCAATCGCTGGTGCGTCTATGCCGTGTAAATGTAACAAATATTGTCCATATCAAGCTGAAGTTGTTTTTTTGCCGAGAGTAAATAATGATAGAAGCGTGCAGAACGCGTCATTCTTCCTTAAAACAATGAGCTACAAAGGTATTTCGTTGAATAATGCGGATAAATTTAAGCCACATCTTGTTGGTCTTTTACATGTTATCCCTTCTGTAAAGAAGGAAGTGCGTTCTTATGACCGATTACACCTAGCTGACACGTGTTAGTAAAATAGGAAAAACGTGTGATCTGAAGCAGCTACATGTTCACCTTATACGCTTATACACTTCAATTCGCCCCCTAATAAATGCTGACGTAGTAATGCCCTTAAAACAACTGGAGTTGACTTTGGTATTTCGGCGCGCGTTTTTCCTAAGCTCGTATCTAGTTTATAAAAGCTCGGGCTAGAAGCTTGAATGAGCTAGAATGGTCTCATAGCAATAATTGTTTTGGTGGTGGATGGTGTCGACGTAGCAGACTGCTTCATAATTCAGCCTTACCCAACAAATAGTATCGATTGCCAATGCTTCACCGAAAAAAGGCTACAGTTGACGCTTACGAGGTAATAGTTTGACTTTTTTTTTGCTGGATAATTAGTTCAGAGCTGAAATAGCTCATAGAAACTATGAGGACTGCATATAATTGCGGGAATCTCTGTGTTTCAAGCTGTGCATCGAGCAGACGGCTGGAAAGCTCTGTGTCTGTCTACGCCCGGATTCGAACCTAGATTATATAGTATATATAGAACCCAAGACCATAAGGTCATCGTCAAACTACAACAGCAACGCCGTCAGTGTCACTGTCTGAGATAGATGTTCATAACTAAACGCTCAGCTGCTGGTGGCATTGACTATAACAGAGCTCATATCATAGTCATCGACCTTAATGGGGGCCGAACAATTAATAAATATTGATCAAATAATATAGTTTGACAGAGAGGAAACGTACGTCATAGTTCTATTTTTAGTGGAAATGATCTGACTGATTTGTACTAGGTATGATGTCGAGCTTAATTTCGCTCCTATTAACTGTTTCGCTATTATTTAGAATATATTACAGATGTAATATACACATTATTTAACTGAGATCAGAATAGGACTCTGTTCTATACGAGTTGTCTGGACGGGATAGGTTGCAATGGAACAGGACGCAAGTAATTTGGGGCGTAACTAAAACGCGTGAAAAAAAAGATTCGTGACATCAGCTAATAAAGCGGCACCCACTAACTGTCTTAAATAGTGCTGTCACGTGGAGAATTACGCCGAAAGGTAGATCAGGAAAGATAAGGGGAAATTTCTGCAATTGCCGGATTCCTATAGACTGTAGTTAATTACCCGTATACCGTCTACATTGCTGGCTTACGAAGATGGTAACAATTAAATGAACCATCAATGAAATAGATGAACAACAACCGAATTGTTGACATCCGAATCGTGGACGGCCATTATTTGAGCAGAGCGTACTGAGCGTATAGATAAAACTGCCGAACTTTTGCATTACTTAGAAGAACATCTTATAAGCAGCGGTATAATTTTCTATGACGCTTTTCAAATAGCCAGTTAGTCATATTTTTGTTACTGGTACTTTAAAATCAGTCATCGAAAGTAATAATTCCATTATGGAATCGGTAAAAAAACAACCAACTAATGGGTGATCAATCATTATACGCGTTCGGTCCAGGTTGAATTAGCTCATGTTGTGATCTTACTTGTCCAGAATATTCTATCATAAAACGAAGCTACTATAAATTTCGTCTCTGATCTACTTGGAAAGTTTGTCCTTTCGGCGTTCGCTAAAAACGTTACCTCTAAAACTGGTAGTGAGTGCTGCTTTGTGGCCTGATATCATGAAACTTTTTTAACATTCTCTAGTGTTGTATATTTAGTCATGGAATGGAAGGCGTCGTCCTTTTTTGTGTAAGCATAAAATACTTACATCGATAGGACTTACCTATTCCACCCAGAAAAAAATTCAATTCGCATGTATTAGGTTATTCCAAGCGAAGTCGATGGACTTTGAAATTGGATGGCCTCTAAGCTGGTTAAGCTAGAACGGCCTTTTCAATATGCGTTGGACGTATTCTTCTTTATTTTTTGCGCACCAATCCCAGCGCTCTGGCAGCTTCAGGACAAGAGCTATATGCCTACCATTCGCGAAATGCTTCTGTAATGGTCTGTATTTATTGTTTCATTTTTGGCAAGTGTCTCATGGCAGCAGACAAGTCGGATCCCCACCGAAATCGATTCTCCCCAGGACGATGCCATTCTCTCGCCTGGTAGAGATCAGACTACGTCTTGCCTAGAACGACGGTTTGCTCCAAGCGTGTTTTTTGTGAACCGCATGAATTACACGTGAAATACGTGGACACTTTTTTTTTTTAACTGACCTGAAGTCAATTCACGCAGGCTAATCTACCTGGCTTCTGCATTTTCAGTATTCGGATTATAACTCTGTGTCGGAGCACGGTAGTTTCTTGTGGTCACAGCATCCAGCCATACCACAATTATAGAAATATAGGATACGATGAGTTATCACAGATTCCCATAGCCGTACTTTTTCAAAATGAGCTCTAAAAAACTGTAAACACTTTCACACGGACGTGGACACAGCACGCAGTAAATGTACGGCTACTAGTTACCTCAAGCATGTTCGTGCACCTTAGGCTGGGATCATCTATTCTCTCCGTGGTGTAGTAGTAACATGTTTGGCTACTAGACCTAAAACATGTAAGGTAATTCCGTAGTTATCTAAGCAGAGAGGGAAAAATAGAGCAAACCAACCGACGATTACGGGGCGTAATGCCCGAGGAGGAAGCTACACTGAAACAAATGGGGCTTTAATAGAAGAGCCCTACAGCGAAGTAATGCTGTGGTCTCTAGAGTGCTCGCACTTTGGAGAGTCAAAGGAAGCCTTTTATCGGCCTGGGATAGCAAAATTTAGTGGCTGTTAGGTTAGTGAGCTTCCGAACGTACCTTTTGATGCCTGAACGGGATAATTATTGGCTAATTAGTACTAACTAAGTAATACTGTACGTAAGACTCGGACGCGTTACGTTGGCAGCATGTGAGGCAAAGGGTAGCTCAAGCTCACAAGATATCTGTTTTAAGACGACGCTGTTCAAAATTATAACGGAGCTTCAGCTTTTTTAAACTATTATTCTCGAGTTAGAGAAATAATCATTAGTACTTTAACGGGAAAACATGTAATAACTAAATCGGCTTAAAATTAGATGTTGTACTTGTTGTTAAGCGGTGTCTCACACAGTTGGTCGTTAGCATAAAATAAAGTAAATCTACGCTTAATTTCGAATCTAGAACCCTAAACAAATAGCTATGATACAGTTGTTGATTTAGACACTTATGCAGTACTGTTACATAAAATAGTACCTTCTGCTATATTTGAGGGACAATTTTTGGATAAATTATGATCCGTTATAAATAAACTGTTGTTTTTGTTTAAATGTATTATTCTACTGTAATTTTGTGCTCATTACTACCTAATTGTTTCTACCCACCTAAGCAGAAAATAGAGCTCGTTTGCTTCT